GTGCTACTTTAAACACTAAAACACCAGTAATCACTGCCTTAAATCACTGATAATTATACATGCAGAAATTGTTACCATAATTATAAAGGGGCAGATAACTCCATCTACAAGTACATCATTGAACACAAGTAACCATTAATTTGTAAATCATATTAGCTAAAAACGTTAATAGATAAAAACCAACATGTTTTAACAGTGTTTTTATGCATTCGTAAACAACGATTAATTTGTAAATCATATTAGCTAAAACATGGTAGATAAAAAAAACCAAAGTGTTTTGACAGTGTTTTTATACGCAGTCGTAAATAATGTAGTTATACAAACTTTTATTATTTCTTACTTTATTTTCATGCCAGAAGTTCTGAATTTCTGAAAAGCTAATGGAAGCCTCACCAATGCAACGCAGATGGGGTCGGATTTAACAATAGGCATAGTAATAGTAGGCCCACAGGCATCTGAAAGCCCACTGAAACGAATTTGTCGTGCAGCGTGCCTGTATATATCCTTTTATCGAGCGTACACCCGGCAATTCATTAAAGGGCTCCTTTACAATAAGTATAGGGTTTGGATTATGGGGCCCCTATATAATAAGTTATGGGCCAAGATAGAGTAAGGAGCCCCTATACAAAAGGTATAAACCACTATACAAAAAGTGGGCTACTGATTAGGGTCAACAAGTAGGTAAATCTGGCCGTGAACACAGAGTAAGATTTCTAAATGTTTGTTGAGATAAGGTGTGATCATCAGATGTAAACACGCCAGTACTAAAATTATACTAGTCTTCTCTTTAGGTCCATTTAACCTGTTGACATTTTGTTAGTAGTGTGAAATAAAAATTATGTTTGAGGTCACTGCTCTACTAACATAATAATATTTTAAATAAACTACCAAAATACATATACTAAAAATATAGAGAGCGGAAACATTGGTAAGGGGTCATATCATTTAATCTGTATCCAATTGTTAAATATACTATATATATTACCTTCAGGCAAAATTATTATATCTTGTACAGGATATAAACAATAAAATACATGTAGTCATATACTAAAAAAATATCTGAGAGAGTGAAAAAGAAAAGAAAGAGAGAGAGATGGGGGGGGGGGGGGTTAAAGTTCATTCCACTAAAACTAGTTCATTTTGGGACTAACATATGGTTCAATTTTATTTTAATAATTCATTTGTGCATAGTGGTTTTAAGAAGTTGGAGGAAATTGGAGGATCAAAAGAAAACCCAAGAGGTTGGACAGGCTACACTACCCTTTGTCATGTACAAGCTGGGAATCAAATCCACACAACTTGACTTAATTACAGACCTTATCATCTAAAGTGCACATGTTTGGCCATTCAATCACCGAAGCCCCCCCCCCTCCACCATTCAAATGAAAATGTTCATATTTTGATTCCAGTAAAAATGAATCCCAGCATAATTGAAGTCTGCATGTATCTTTCATCTGAAAATTTGATATATTTTTAGCAAATACATGTCTATTACCCACAAAAATTTAATTTAAAAAAACGAAATGGATTGCATTAAAGCCAAATTGTACCATGCAAAAAACCAGTTCTTCACAAAAATCAATATTTTATAATCTTAGAAATATCTCCTAAGATGTAAAAATGTGGACCAAGATGAAATTAAATTATTGAAAATCAATAAATATATGAGTTAGTGAAACATGTTATTTTATTTATAGAATAAAAAACAAGAGACCCAAGGGCCTTATGTGAACCTGTGAATCGCAATATGCTTGATAGATCCTAATCTGGATTCGTTTATTAAAATGCAAGAATAAGTGATTTATTTTGGGACATGTGGCATTTTTTTTATCTTAGCGTCTAAGTTCTATAGTCAGAGAAAGGGAAATGAGGTTTAACGTCCACTCAACACAAACTAGGTCATTTTGGGACATATGGTTCAATTTAATTTCAATAATTGGCTTGTGCGTAGGGGTCTTTAGCAGTGGGAGGAAACCAGAGGACCCGGAGAAAACCCACAAGGTTGGACAGGCAACCCTACTCCTTGTCACGTACAACCGGGTAATCGAAACCACGTCAGCTGACTCAATGACAGACCTTATGATACAGTGCGCACATGCTAACCAATCGGCCACCCAACCCAGTCTAAGTTTTATACTTACATGCTATGAGCATACAAACAGTGTGGAAAAGCTCTATACAAATGATCACATTATTAAAGACAAGATTATCCTTGTTGAAACGTTGCATAGAATTTACATTACATTACAGACAAGAGTACCTTTGTCGAAACATTGCATTGTAAAAATCTTTAAGTGTCATTTAGCAATTGAGGAACACATTAAACAAAACACAATTTTTATGGAAGATCAATAACTAGTTTTATATTAAAACCACGACGTTTCGACAAGTATCCGCTTATCTTTATTAAACATAATAACATTTAGTAAACGTCAATATATATGATGTCCGTATGGTGAAGCCATTTACATACGACATTTAGTCAACTTCAGTAATTCTGCATCCACGAATTTGTACCTTATGTTTAATACGTTCAATTACTACTTGATTGTCAAAGAAGTTATATTCATAACAAAAATCTCTTATTTTTTTCAAATTTTCTAAAATCCAAATTAGCAGAAGTTGTATTAAAATCTAGACACACTTCAAAGATGTCCCATGCTAATTGTTTGAATTGATGATATATTTGAACTAAAAACATATTCAAACTAATTTTTTCTATGAAATGTTTGCTTCAAATCCTTTTAAATCGTACGGTTGAGTGGTAGTTATACACTAAGTACACTATATTAATTTTGTAATTTTGAATATTATTCACTATGTCTTGATGTCCGATTGGGCGCATTCCTGGTCAGACAATTTAGGACGTTTGTAAAATAGTGTGGGACGTGTCCGGAATATACGGGCGAAATACAATCACTGATTATAGCCCTGTGCAGGTCTCATTAAATTGGTGTTTTTCAGGGAACCCAGTAATTTTCTAGAAAGATTGGGTATCCCTACTTTCCACATACCTGCCATACTTTTTATTGGCAAATACTGCTCTAAAAATAGGCCTACTTTCCTGGGAAGGCATCTTTACGCCAACAGTACACAAAATTTCATGGTCTAAACACAACATACAAAATACCATGGTCTAAAAACCACATACAAAATGCGATGATCCAAAAACCATATAAAAAATGCCATCGTCTAAAAACCACATATACATAAATTATCATGCAGAAACCAAACAGAGCTGTTTAGCCACATATAGTTTGAATGAGATAAATTGTCTTGAATGATACCCTAGAAAGGTATGTAGGTGCTGCATAGTTCAGGCACCACGCAAAATTTCAACACTTGCATCTAAACACATAACCCACAGATAGATGTCGATCTGCAGCCACCCACCTGCCCATCCATACCTATGAATTAAGAAAATGTTGAGATGCAGAGAGACAGGGAGAGAGAAATGGGTTTTAACGTTCACTTGACACAAACCAGGTCATTTTGGGACTAACATATGGTTCAATTTTATTTCAATAATTTGCTTGCGCGTAGGAGTCTTTAGCAGTGGGGGGAAACTGGAGGACCCAGAGAAATCCCAGGAGGTTGGACAGGCGACCCTACGCCTTGTCAACTGGGGAATCGAACCCTCACCAGTTGGCTGAATGACAGACCTTATGATACAACACGCCTACGATAACCATTCGGCCATCAAACCCCCCTATTGAGATGCAAGATCAAAGTTCACAGATGGATTTTGATAGAAGTTTAAGACTAAATAATCAACATTTTATTTTTTTTAAAATCAACATTTCATTTTTTTTTACTATCTGCTATGTCATTCAATCTGCCCACTGAGTTCCACAGGTTATTCATTCGAATGCAAGTGTTGAAATTTTACCACGGTTCATTACAGTATTATATGTATTAATGACAATCCTGTAACGGAAAATAGCAGTGGTTCTGGATATTTAACAATTATTTCATTCATTTCACACACACAAAATTTCACGTGTAACCTTGTGTTCATGAATTTATTCAGGGCAAGATATAAATACGAGAACAGCACAAGATCTGAGATCTTACATTTTTAAACAGATCTGATAAATATTATGCATTTATGTCAACTCAAATTAATGTCCAGAAACTTTCTAGCCAACAATTGGCTATAAATATTAGTTCTGTGACTCAGGCAGTCATTCTGCACACAGTGAATTTCTATTCTACTTTGAGAAAAGATCTCTGCTTTAAATGGCCGCCATATCTAACAATTAGTATACTGTTTTGTAATGAGAGAGAGAGAGGGAGAGAGAGAGGGAGAGAGAGAGAGAGAGAGAGAGAAATGGGGTTTAACGTCCACTCGACACAAACTAGGTCATTTCGGGACTAACATATGGTTTAATTTTATTTCAATATTTCGCTTGCGCGTAGGGGTCTTTAGCAGTGGGAGGAAACCGGATGTTTTGTAATGTGTTCCTACTCTGGTTCACATCTTTTATACACAACAAGACCTTCCAATTTTATCAAATGAAAGCAGAATATATACTTCTCAAAATTCTTGAAATATACTTAGTGTTATTGACTAAAATCGTCTTTTAGGACTTAAAATGTCGGTCAACTAGCTTAGTGTCTGTTCTCAAGCGGATCTATAATCGTAGACAGCCAGCTTAAGTTTAGTATGTCAGTCTAGACAATAGTTTTGGGCAGCTTCAAAAATGAGTTTCAAGACTCATGTAAGAAAGACAGCTTTTCTCTGATTATTTCAGGCTAATCATTATGTTAATGTACTAGGTGCTAAAGGTTTTGGGCTTGTTTTTTTATGTACGCGTTTCTGTACGCGTTTCTGCACGCGTTACGATCCCGTAACAATTGCATTAGATCAACTATTTTGTCAGCAAAGATGCCCACCCTGAAACACAGTGAAAACATGTACACGGAAGACAGGCCAGAAACTGAAATTTCTATTAACTGTTCTATCTTTTTTCTGAGACTAACATCTACTAAAATCTTACCTGCAAAAATATTGAGTTCCACTTCACTATCACTGACACTACCGCCAGTACTTGTTGAACTAGAACTTGTCTTTCTCATTTTAGGTTGAATAGAATTATCTCCCCTTATTCCTGCAGCGATCTCACTTGATATAGAGCTCTTCATATTATCACTAACAACTTTTCCATCACTGGTTGTTTTATCTACAGTTTGTAAATTATCACTAGGTAATGTTTCTTCATTGTCAAGTTTCTCCATATTTGGTAATTTGGCATTGTTGCCAGGAAATAGTTCAGGGATATCCGACAGTCCTCCAGGATTCAACAAGATGGCATCTGTAAGTGTTTCCATGTCTTTTGATTTCCGTTTGTCCTAAAATATGAACAAATTTAATTCAGGAAAAATGAGACTTAAATGGGCATTAGATAAAGAGCTGACAGTTCTTAAAAAAATAGATAATGAAAACAGAATATGCTGAAAATTTCAAATTGCTTCACTCTGAACCTAGATATTAGCAATTCAATTATAGGCTAGCCTCGATTGTCATTACTACCATTGTTACGATAATAAACAAAGTCTCGATTATTCATTTTCACTGTCATGACATCCATCACATAACCCATTCAAATCCACTAAACATCGCAGGCATCCAAGAGTTGATTGAGGTCTTGGTAAGTTAATTAATGTCTAATTAATAATTTAGATAACATTTCAGGCCTAAAGAAAGACCAGCAATGGGCAGATTTAGCTCTTGCATAATGCCTGTTTAACAAAATATCTGAATGTCAGAACAATGATAACTGTAAAGTAACCAAATAGAACACTAAAATTTATTAATTGCAGCTCATTTAGAAATTTAATGTCTGGGACACACCATGCAAATTTTATGGTTTGGCTGAAGTAATCGCCACAGAAGTTATGGGACACACAAGGCGAATGCCTGTGCTGATTTCTCACGAATACGTTGCCTGATACTTAATTCATGCATGGGTTTTTGGTAACATAATATAGGCTGCGACATATATCCAGGCGATAAATATCAAATATGTTTGATATTGGTCAACAGTGTCGAAATTACCTGGTGAAAGGTTCGTCCGAATGATGCGAAATTACCTTGTGAAAGGTTCGTCCAAATGATGAGTCATAAAAATTTGCCTTGTGTGTTCTATGTATAACACATAAGGGATGCTCAATTCACAGTCCGGAACGTCCCAAACTGACGATTGAGGCGAAATTCAGTCCTGTCACAGTTCTGTTTGTCCCGACTACGGAGGTGGTGTGAGTAGAATTGTGATGTTATTAAACACAACGAATGTGTTTCGGCTGCATGGTTGGTTGAGATATTTACTTATTCAGTCGACGCATGCGTTGTAGCCCGAAATACCCCTTTTCACTCAATTTTGACTATTTTAGGGATTGAGAGAATTCAATTCTGGAGCGTTCAATCGAGTACCACCACTATCATTGATCACTGTGACAATGACAGCAGAATCATGATCACCATGACTGCATCATGATTATAATGTACTAACCTGTGGATTAAGTTTTTGATGTATACCATGTAAAGCTGTGCTAGGAGATGGAGGTGGTTGGTCTGGTGTAGGAGGTTGTACATAACCTGTAGGTGAGACTGGTGCATCTTCACCAACAGAACTGGTTCGTTTATTACATAAATCTAACGTTAAGGGTTTAGTGGTTCTATCACCTGAAATAAAAAAATAATTAATTACAAATTAAAGCTGCTACTCCTCATCTGGATTTTGGACAATATCTCGGGGATTGATGTTTGAAAATTGCAGGTGCTCTAAAAATCGCTCTCCTGGTCAAAATTGCAGGAGTTGTTTAGAATGCTATCCTCTAAAAAAACAACAGATTGTGAGAGTGTAATATTTTATCAGTTTAGAAATTTGTAAAATTAGCAAATGTATTCAACACATTGCCGTAAAAATTCCTGATAACAAGTCACCTCACACCCAAGTACGTTCGTCCACATAATGATCAATGGAATTATCTTTTCAACAATTAGGACACTAATACAATGCTTATTTTCACTAGGGACCTGGTATCATTCAGATTTGATGAAAAAAGGAAAGAAACTGAGCTTACGAATCTATAATCTAATACACATATTCAGTTAATAGATTGCCATGCAGGAAGTGTTAAATACCATCAAGATTCATCAAAAACCGCCCAGTTTGTGTTACCGTTTAGTTTGACATCGGTTGTCTAGTTTATGAAACTAAATGGTCATAAACTGGATGACCAATATCAAAACTAAACTAAATGGTCATAAACTAGATGACCGATGTCAAAACTAAATGGTGTTTCTTAAACTAAACGGTAGCACAAATTGGGCGAATTTGATGAATCTTGATGGTATTTAACACTTTCTGCATGGCAATCTATTAAATGAATATGTGTATTAGATTATAGATGATAAGCTCAGTTTCTTTCCTTATGAAAGAATGATCCCGGTCCCTATTATTTTACTGCCGATATATTTGATTAAAGACACTTTGTTTGTTGAGGTATCATTAATCCATTAAGGCTTGACAAGATGACATTCGTAATTCGAATAATGAGATGCGGTTGGACAGTCGAACCCATTCCTTGTCATGTACAAGTGGGGAATTGAAACCATGCCACTTGACTCAATGATAGACCTTATGATTTAATGCGCATGCGTTAAACCACTAGACCACCCAACCCCACTTCAAAACTACAACTAATTTTTTTACCGTTAGATTGACTCGAATCCTCGTTTATCACAGTTGTATCATCATTGCTTGTATTAGTTTGTGGGTCAGTTGTATCTTCATTGCTTGTATTAGTTTGTGGGTCAGTTGTATCTTCATTGCTTGTATTAGTGTGAGGGTCAGTTGTATCTTCATTGCTTGTATTAGTGTGAGGGTCAGTTGTATCTTCATTGCTTGTATTAGTTTGAGGGTCAGTTGAGGTATTGGTTTCTACTTCAGATTCATCATCTAAAGTTTTGTCTTCAGCCATTTCAATTTCCACCTGTCCAGGTCCTCCGATAACAACATTACAATAATTTGGGAAATGTTTTCGGGAGTTTTCTACAGCACTCATTTCATTGGTCGGTTCAGCACTTAAATCATTCGTTAATTTTTCTTTCGTTGCAGCTGTTATGATTTCCGCTGAATTGACATACACAGAATCACTTTCAGCATTTGCGTCAGTTTTTTCAAAAGAAATTCCTTCCATAAACACATAATTTGAAGAATTTCTCTTCATGTCCGAGTCGACACTTCTCTCTAAAGAATCTGTGGTAGAAACGGAGAGTTCGTCTGATTTAACGGATGAAGAATGAGATTTAGTACTAATACTATCAGGATTTGGACTCGGTTGCTTCCTCGTTCTTGGAGGCTTCTTTGGATGTTCCTGTAACACAGAGAGCAATAAAATGAAATGGAGTTTAACATCCTATAATTAGTCAGGCGGGCTAATGAAGACGGGCATTCAGCATTTTGTGTGCTGTGAGTGAAATTTTGTCTGGACCACTGACAAGATGCTGAGAAATCCAAGGAAATTTCTTGGTCAACTCATGGATTGAACTCGTGACCTCCTGGTTCTACACGGGACCTCGGTTTTCTGTCCCATCTGAACAACTTAACAGCTGCCCTCCATCTTGCACCACTGACAAGGGGAAACCACACCGGAAAATCATTTCGTTGTAATGAAATGGGATCTGTGTTTTAATCAGATTGTATATTAGTAATTTCTATTTCAATGATTTATGTGTGCAGAATTTGTTTTTTTGCATGCACACCAATGTGTCCATGGTGGACCATGTTTCTTAATCCACTCGACACAAGCTAGGTCATTTCAGGACTAACATATGGTTCAATTTTATTTCAATAATTCGCTTGCGCGTAGGGGTCTTTAGCACTGGGAGAAAAACCCCAGGGTTGGACAGGCGACCCTACTCTTTTTCACATGGAAGCTTGGAATCAAAGCTAAAATCTACAATGAACAATATGGAGAAAGACAAAATCAATGACATTTTTTACCAATTTGACACCAGGAGTGGCATCAGGAAAGATTGCACCCATTGGAATATATGCAGATTTGGGAACTTGAGGTACCGGTAACGGTGCATCTTGAGGTGGATTAGCTTCAAAACAACCTGTAGATAGAAAACAATGTGGAAATAGTTTGAAAAACCATGGCAATGATTGAAATGAAATGAAATGAAATGAAATGAAATGGGGTTTAACGTCCTACTGTTCTGCTCCTATACTGGGCTAATGAAGATGGGCATACGCCATACAGTGTGCTATGAGGGAAATTTTGCCCGGGCAGTGGCACTATCACCTACTCTTATATCGAATTCCAACTGCCAGGGGATATTTTACGTGACCTCGATTTTTCGTCTCATCCGAAGAACTAGACAGCTGTCCTTGTCAGGCCCTCCGTCCTGCATCACTGACAAGGGGGAAATCACACTGGAAAATGCTGTTTAAAGCACACAAGTAACAACATGACAAAATGATAAAGCTTGTCAGGTGTTTCATCTAATTGAGAGAGACAAATGGGGACGAACATATGGTCAAGTTTTATTTCAATAATTAACATGCGCAGCGTAGGGGCCTTTGAAGTATGAGGAAACCGCGTATGACCAGGAGAAAACTCATGAGGTTGGACATGCGACTCTAGGGAATCAAAACTATATCACCTGAATCAATGACAGACCTTATGACCATTTCGACACCCAACCCCACAAAAAAAGAGAAAATGAAAACCGAGAAATACTCACTGTCGTTACTGGATGAAACAGATATCTGTGTATTGTTCTTGTTGGAAGATTTCAGTGAGGGCATACGAGGTGGTAGAGGGGGTGGTGGAGGTGATTCTACCCCGGAAGACCTACAATATAGAAATGAAATTTAATAAGAAGAATTAATATGGCTGCTTCATTGCTCCAAAATTGAAGTAAAATATTAAAGGGAAACAACTCTTCCAAAACCTAAGATTATCTCCCCTTACAAAACACCCCATGATCAGCTTTCAATCTGTTCCTGAACAATAAAGATTTGCCAGACATTTCTTATTCATTAAAATATTGTAATTTTGTTATCAGATATTTTGCTGTGGGAAAACTTCACAAACAATTGTAAAAGGCCATCTAAGTATTCAATACAAGCCAGGAAATAAGGCACTTGTCACTGACAATGTCAGGCACAGATTCAGGCTTTGTCAGGCCCTAAACCTTTGGTGCCTGTCATTTTGTCTGGCACTGATTTGTCTTTTTTATTGATATTATTAATACATGTCCGGCACTAAGTTGAAAATGTCAGGTAATATTTCATTAGTGCCTGACATTTTGTCAGGTACATGTGAAACTGTTATTTCCAGGCCTGTCTATGAATAAAACACAATAAAGTTGATTAAATTTGATAAACCTGTCTTCGAACTCTACTTCTTTGATGTGTTCTTTATCTTTGAAAGGCTTGGAATATAGTTCTTCTATAGATTTTGGCGGTTGGGGTGTTGGTTTTTTCAGGGGAGATGACTCTGGTGTCTCAGTACCCGAGAAAGCAGTATCAGAATCAGGTGTATGGACTGTATTGAAAGCACTAAGATGATTAGAATGGTAATCTGTAAAATACATTATAAATAAAATAATCAACCTCAAAACATTACATATCTGAATATCAGATGAAATGAAATGAACAGATAGATGAAAAAAAATGAATAATGAAATGAAATGAAAATGAATAAAATGAAATGAAAATGAATAAAATGAAATGAGTAGATGAAAAGAAATGAGTAGAGTAGATGAAATGAAAATGGATGAAATGAAATGAGTAGATGAAATGAAAATAGATGAAATGAAATGAGAAGATGAAATAAAATGGATGAAATGAAATGAAAATGGAGGAAATGAAATGAAAATGGAGGAAATGAAATGAAAATGGAGGAAATGAAATGAGGCTTAACGGCCTAAGAGGGCAAAACATGATGCAATTTTGCCTTGACTTTGACCTTGACAGCAGAGTTTCCGCCTACTCTTCATCTAATCTCAACTGTCATGGGTTCTTTATACAGGTGGACCTCGATTTATAGTCCCATCTACATGACTAGACACTTTTCCTCGTCCTTCCCTCCGTCCTGCACCAATGAAAAGGGGAAATCAGGCGGCAAAACCCCAAGTAACCGTCTCGATCCTCGCTGACATAGAACCTGAGACCTGGTTAATGATCCAGTGTGATACTCACTCAGAGATCATGCTCGCCCCCCCCCCCCCCCCCCCCCCCGCCAAAAAGAAAGCATCATTTATTGCAATTAACCATCTCGTTCATCATCGGCATACAAACAGGGACCTCATGACTAATGATCCAGCTTCATATTCACTCACTGACTGGGCTTCCCCCAAAAATCCAAAATGAAAATGATTTATACGTGGGACTTACTCTCTATAAGTTGTTGAGCTTGATAAGCTTTCTGTGATGGTAATGTTTTCAGGATATCTTCAGCAGATAAAGATGACTTGTCTCTTATATTAACATCAATACCTGGAGTGGCAAAAACAGATTCATTTGCATCATCATATATATACTATAGTTTTTAAATTCCATTCTATTCCATAGCCATGTTAGTCTGATTAAAATACAGATCTATATTTCATTTCTTTTTTTTTTAATACTTTCGATTGTCTAGACTACATGAAAATCTGATCAGTTGTACTGGGAGGTTGCGTCAGGGATCAGACAAGCATCTTTTGACCCTATGACATCAGATATTGATAAATCAATCAGCGGAAAACCCGGAGGTTGAACAGGCGACACTACTTCTTGTCACAGTCAAGCGGGGAATCGAAACCAAACCACTAGACTCAATGACAGACCTTATGATCTAGCGCACACACGTTAAACCATTCAACCACCCAACAGCCTTGCCTCAGTAACCACTTTACAATGTAGATTATGATAATCGATTTAAACCTACCTCTTTCTAACAATAATTGTATGACATCAACTTTACAATAGGTAGCTGCTTCATGCAATGCTGTACCAGCATCTGTCTGTAACCATGGTAACATTACAAGCAGTTAGTATCATTATTAGGACATGCACAAAAATATTTTGGTTCTCAATACAGTTCTTCCTAAAACAGGGCTTATGTCGACAAATAGTTGCAGTCACTGAGTCAGTTGCAAGTGTGCTTATGTTGATCATATCAGCAACGGAGGACAACTTGGAGCAACCGAATTCGGAACGCTCATGTTGACTCGGAAGTCGGAACTGATACCAATTACACTTAACATGTGACTGTTAATTTATTGGCGAATAACTTAGAAGAAGCATCCCCAAAGGCATGGTCGGTATTGCCACAATTCTATTAGTATATTATTATCGACATCATCAACATTTGAAAAGTGGGTGTCTTCATTCGTTTCCAGTTGTTTATTTATAAGGTCACATACATGACTGCTATCACGTGATGTTATTTCCATGGAAACGAGTTGACACCAGTTGCAAGAACGCTCATGTCGACTGCAACTAGTTGTTGCTAGTTGCAGCGAGTTGCAGAAAGTGGAACAAGTGCAACTGACTGCAACTAGTTGCTTCGAGTTGTAAGAGGCGCTTAGGGCGACCTTTTTCAGTTGCCAAAACACACGTTGCTTTCAGTTGCAAGGTCGACATAAGTACCCTCCCCCCCCTCCTTCCCAGCCCCTGAAAGCTCTGATACAGTAGTGTATTTTGTTATTGTGTTTTTATTTGATAAAAGTATCATTACTGGGCTAAATCTCTTCTCATAAACATTGTGTTTCAAGGCAATCATTAATCTAATCACATTGTTGATTGTATACTTGATTATCCAGATTGTCAGTCACATTCATCAGGGTTGTATACTGGATAATTGAGCCTACTGAACATTCCCAGAATCATTACCATGTTCTTAATAGTCACTTCCTGAAAGCCAGGGAAAACAATTAGATGCAGTAATTAATTATAGACTGTTTTTATTTTTTTAAAAAAACATGCAGCTCTTGTTAAGTAACACAGGAGAATCTGAGAACCAAAATATTTTTGTTACATGGCCTTATTATTATTACTACATTAATAACTACACCTTACTCTAATATATATATAGTAATACAATGTCAGTCCTTTCAATCATATCATGCTGTTATTTTCCACAAAGCAAATAACATGTCCTCTTTTCTTTTGATTAGTAAGTATTTTTGTGAACAACCTAAACTGCTTTAGATTTATGTACGTGTATTTGTTTTTAGATTTAAGTAGTTGCTTGGTGTTCTACTATTTATAAAGATGGGTTGCCAGACAATGATACATATGCCCACAGCAGCTTAGTCATCCAAGCAATACACAATGGTTCAGGTAAATACAATGAAATGGGGTTTAATGTCCTACTGTTCTGCTCCTAACTGGGATAATGAAGACGGGCATACGCCATACAGTGTGCTATGAGGGAAATTTTGCCCGGGCAGTGGCACTACAGCCTACTCTTATATCAAATTCCAACTGTCAAGGGATCTTTTACGTGCACGCCAATGTGTACACAGGGCCTTGGTTTCTATCCCATCCGAACGACTAGACAGCTGTCCTTGTCAGGCCCTCTGTCCTGCATCACTGACAAGGGGGAACTACGGCTGAAAATCTGCATGAAATTTCTCGGCCAATGCAGAGATCGGATACCCTACCTCCAGGCTAGCGAGCCAGTGTCTTACCCAATTAGCCACCCTGACCCCTGTTGACAAGGTTTAATTGCATAGTCAAGGACAATAACTGTAAGTAATCAAGAGAAATTGTTGAATTTCATAGGATTCTTTGTGTCACTATTCATATGAATTTCTCAATTCGAAAGGTTTTGACAGGAGAAATAACTCTTGTAGAACAATGACAGAAAAATCCAAAAAAAAATGTCAGTAATTCGGACTTGTAGAGAGTTTACAATGTTTCAGTAACAGGGGGCAATAAATTCATGTCAAAAAGATGAAAAATCCAAATACATGAGATTTCTTCCTTATAACTAGCTAAATAATTCTGGCAAGTTTAAACGAAAATTTCAAAACCTCTGATGTTTACGAATTGGAGCTACATGGTGATGACAATATACTCATAAAAAATGGTGGCCTATAAGAAATTATTTTATTTTGAAGATAATGTTCACACTTTGGACATTTATGAATCAGACAGCCTTGGTAACAACAATATACTCACACATATAAAATGTGGGCCTATAAACAATTATTTTTTTTTGAAGATGATGTTCAGACTTTGGACTAACTAAAACTAACTTGAATGACATTTCTTGTACCTACTCTAGTACTCTAAAAGTAAATAATGCAAGCAAACGTTGCACAATACATGCAAGATGTAGAAAGGGGATGAGGTGGGGATGTGCTGATCAGAAAACCTACAATAGCAATCCATTGTTAGAATGTAAAATTCTCAGTAAAGAAATGTTGATAATTGAAAATAGCCAGTTGAGGACAGTACCTTTAAATTGACTTGGATGCCAGAATTTAATAAATATTCGACAACAGCTAGATGTCCGCTACGAGACGCTAGATGTAACGGGGTATGTGTTGGTACCACATGGTTAACGAGGCCCGGATGGGTTTTAATTAGATGAATAACGACGTCTAATCGGCCATATTGTGCTGCTAGCTCTAATGGCGTCAAATCACCTAGGTTACGTATGGCTGGATCCGATTTATTCTGAAAAAAAAATGAAAGAATATTTAATTAGAACCATATATCCTCACCATATTTTAGTAATTCAGGTGCCAAAAAACCTGAGAAAATAAACTTAAATGTTATCGAATATCATTCATTAAACCTAGACCCTTAGTTATTGAAAAAAAATTTATAGCAAAGATTTTTTACGAGCACCCAAAGAGCTCATGCCTTGTAGTACAAAGAGAAGCAAGTAAAAATATGTGTATAGCTGAATTCCAGCCACTTTTAAGAGAATTTATACAATATTCCACCTTTTGAAATTCTATACACAGTACAGTTCCATATGTCTACTTTTGTTTTATTTTTTGGGAGGATATGACATTGCTAATTCAGTTATTATTAGAAACTTTATACCACCCACTTTTTAAGCTAATTTTAAAAAAATAGCACATTTTGAAATTTAAGACACAGTTTCACATGTCTACTTTTGTTTTATTTATGGGGATGGGATGAATGACAATGCTATGCCTGTTGCTATTAGAAACTATTTATTCTATTTGATGCAGAACAAAGTGAGTCTAGACAAGCGTAAACATGTGCACAATAAGATACATCTTGACCTGGGGTTGATACATCTTGACATGGGGTTAAAGGTCACATGATTAATAGTAACAAAAACAACCTGTCATTATAAAATAGTTGAGGCTAGTGTAACATCTTTGTACTGGTGACCCGACCCTGGTGGAAATGACATTATCTAAAATGTCTCATGGTAACTATAATCAGTTTAGTCAGCGATTACTCACTTCTACAAACAATCTTACAATTTGCCCCAATTAAAGTCACAGACCCTCACCTGAGAGATTTTGACTCCCTTGCAAACTACAATATTGTCAATGATGAATCCGTATAAGTACTTCTTATTGTCATGGGTTCTTTTACGTGCACGACAATGTGTACAGAGGAATATCATTGAGTTTTTTTTGTCCCATCCAAATGACTAGACAGCTGTCCTTGCAGCCCTTGCTGTATTGCACCATAGACAAGGGGAAATTACGTCAGAAAATCCAGAAGAAACTTTGTCGGCCAACACCATGAGCTAACCGAAGAACTCCCAGCAAGCGAACCAGCGGCGGAACTCACTGAGCCACTGCGGCTCTCTATATACGTATATATATGTATATCTCTCTATAAATGTATATATGTATCTTACCTGTAATAATATAGACACTGTAGTAGCATGTCCATGTTGAGCAGCACAATGTAAAGGTGTATCACCATCACCATTCTGACAAAAAAAAATTAATATTAAACTACTGAGTTTACCCTTTAGCACTTATATTTTTGCTGCCATTGAAATCGTGGTTTTAATCGTGGAGTAATAGTGGTGATCCTATCAGGTTTTATCATATATTGAGGTCAGTCGTAGCAATCAAGTTGATTGTATCGAAACATATCCGAACTTATCTGCATGCACCAGCTAGGGACAATCCTATCGTAACGCATCGCACTACAGTGGGAACCTAGCTTTAGATAGATTGCCCTGTCATGTGCATAGCTGTCACGACAGCAACAACTTGTATATAGTCCTATAATACGGAAAACTATTCATATATCTCGGGTGGTATGAGGCAGTCTAAGGAATAGCAGTACGAGACTGTTTCGATCTGTCCAGGGATATACCAGTATTAATGTAACACTTTTCTCTAATTTTCATCCAGGAACTGGGGCAGTCAATATTTACATGTACCATGTAATAACAATGGAATACAAATTTGAAAAGCAAATTGATTAAGGCCAATAACTCTGACAGTAACCATTAGAAATTGGTGAAAATCAATAGGATTATTTGTCTCATGAACATAACTGTATCCTCTAGAGTGTCTAGATTGGCCGTGAAGAGAAGACATTTCAACGTGGGAAGATAACAAATGTTAGTATATAATTTGAAAACCAGACAGTGTCCACTTTAGTTCTGAAGGTCAATTCATTTGATCTTTAATTGACATATAGGTTGATCTATAATAGAATAATGTCTCGGAACTCGGGAGATGGAGAAAGCTGGCCATGGCATAGAATAATATCTGATTATAATGGATGTTATGGTCTCACTTTATTGCAGAATATAATAATGTTTATGTCCGATCACATAACTGAATCACTTTGAAAGGTTTATTCAATCAGTCTCTTAATGAATTCCATTTATTTCAGTCCAAGTGTAGATGTTTCAGAAACAGTAACGCCAGTCAACAGATAAAATGTAAAGGGAGAGAGAGAAATGGGGTTTAACATCTTCTTGACACAAACTAAGTCATTTCAGCATTAACACACAGTTCAATTTTTTTTCAATAATACGCTTGCAATGGGTCTTTATCAGTGGGAGGAAACAGGAGGACCCTGAGAAAACCCACGAGGTTAGACAGGTGACCCCAATCTACGCCACGTACAAGTAGGGGATCGAAACTAAACCATTTGACTCAATGACTAATTTTATGATCTAAATCAAAGTAAAGAGGAAGAAACTCATTCCTCAAAGTTGAAACCAATTCTTCCTCCTTGGGGACTCTTCATTTTTTTTTCTCAGCTTTCACTTAGCTTTCAATTTAAGTGTTGTCAATATAAAATTAACATAAAATGGTGCATTTTAATAGGATTTTTCCTTTCACTAATCTAAACAATGCATATAAATTTCAAGCAGATAGAACAATAAATTTATTGAATATAGCATTCAAACACTTTTTCAAGGTGAAGATGGGCCATAACTCTGGAAGTAATTAATGGAAACTGTTGAAATTCAATATGCATCTTTCTTTCATTAATATAATTAACATATAAATTCAAACAGATTAGGTGATAACTTTGGTCATCGTTTCTTTTTCTTATACTCGCTTTCTGACAACCGCAGTATAGCTCACTATAATCCATGAACATCAAGATGGTATCTAGCATGTTTTCTAAAGAACAAAGTTTATTAGACTTTTGGCCAATTGTAGCTTTAAATTCACACAAATAAAACATTGGGAGAGCGGTTTATATAGGCTTTGCCTGTTCCCCAATCCCCTCAGTTTCTGAATAAATATTGTTTATGAAAAAAAATAAATAAATAAATAAAACATGTAATGCAATGAAATATGACAACCACATCTAAAATATTCAAAGAATACATGAAAAATGTATTATTTTAATGATGGAAGAGTTTTTATGGCAACATGCCTATTTGACTGTATAATATAATAACCCTGTTTTAATTAATATTAGTGCACAGTCTGTGTTTTGAAGCAAATTAAATTCACCAGAGAGTTAAAGATACATTATGGAAGATGAGATAAAGAGCTGGCAATTCTCGCTATAATAGTTAGAAAAAAGATAATGTAAATGGAATTTTCAGAAAATTTCAGTCAAATTGATTCACTCTGAACCGAGAATTTAGCAATTGAATTTTGGGTCTAGTCTCGATCATCATTACTAAAGTCGGTACGACAAAAAAACACAGTCTTGATCATCCATTTTTTGATTTAATCATAAATGAGCGTTGAGCAGCAGATCGGATTATAATCCAGAAAATATCGCAGGCTAGGGATGATATCGAGAGTCGATAATTAATGTCTAATTAATAATTAACCTAAAATTTCAGACCTAAAGAAAGACCTGTAATTGGCAGATTTAGCTCTTTGGGAGGAAACTTGAGGATCTAGATAAAACCCTGGAGGTTTCACAGACGACCCCACTCCTTGTCACGTACAAGCTGGGTATCCAAACCACACCACTTGACTCAATGACAGACCTTATAACCATTCAACCATTCAATTTCAACTAGATATTATCCAGCAAAGGTGGGTTTCACAGCCAACAATCGAAAGTAATCTTCCGAATATTTTTTGATGATAACTTTATAAATTACACTGTTTTTCATAAGCTTCAAAATCAATGCTACTTGACGCAGTCAACTAGTAGTAGAATTGGTTTTATTACATAAAAACTGAGTACTTCTACGCCATCTATTAGAGCAAATAAAATCTGATTTTGTCGTAGCAATCAGTGGTTATTACCACAGTTTTGCCGTTAGTAATTCAAGCGAAGAGTAGTAATAGACAATCTGATTAAATTACAGATCAATATTTCGTTTAGTTTTTTATACTTTCAATAGCCTCAAATGCATGAAGATCTCACTTGTTGTAGTCGGAGGTTGCGTCAGGGGTCATAAGAGTGGCTTTTGACCCTATGATGTCACACTTTTAATTTACTAATCAGCGCTGATGTCTCTACTGCGATACCCACAGTTCTGTTCACTGCACGCCATAAACTCATTGGCTAATCCCTCACATCAACCAGAACGTTGGTTATATAACAACTCTTCTAGATCCTAGTGTAGTAAAGACAAGTAAAGCAAAATTTTGAACTATAAAAAAAACAAAACGAAATAGGATCTGTGTTTTAATCAGATTGAGTAATAGACCATAAATAATACCTGTAAATTAACAGTGGATAATGCAGCAGGTGCTGATGGATTTAATAACATATAACATATATCAGAGTTACCACTCCATGCTGCAAGGTGGAGTGGTGTACAGCCTCTTGTATCTACAGCTGCTGGATTCGATTCACTCTGTAACAAGATCGACACAACCTCTCTGAAACATAAAATTTACATATTTAAGCAATTTCATTTTCCAAGGGGTCATTTTTTGATAAGTTCTTTGTGGTAAATAAGGTCATTTATATCAGTTTCAAAATGGATCTCATCTGAAAATATGATGAAACTAATGACCAAGACTTCTATTAAAGCTATATTGAAACCTAATTAAAATGTTATTTCTGTCTGTCAGGCAGTAAAATGGCACAGAGAAACCAGATGAAAGAAAGCACATGCTTTCTGGAAACAACAAAGACAGTGTGATCTAATGTGGGATCTTGTGTCTGTACACTATCTGAAATCCACAAATGGTGGATGTTTTAAAACAAGCTTACATGAAAACCAAGTCATTATTTTCTGTGGTGCACAGTGACAAGGAAAAACAATCTAGATCGTGGGAAAAAACTGAGGTCCACTAGTGTGGATGTTGGAATGGACATAAAAAGAACTCTTACATTTGGATTTCAAATAAGAGAAGACTGTAGTACCACTTTTCCTCATGGCACACAATATGCTCATCACAGGCCCCAGTTTCACAAAGCATTCTCAGACTTTCAATCACTGTTTATGAGAAATATCTTTGATCCAGAAACACACAAAACTTTGCACATAGTTTCTTATTGATGTATTTGATATATTAGAACTAGAAAAGTGTTATAAAGGGCTATAATTTAGTTAAAATAAGGCGAACAATTTTGAGTAGATTCTTAACTTAACCAGGGTCAGGACAAAAGGTATCTCATGTCTAAACAAAATGTACTTCATGCCTGTCTTAATTAGCTCGGTTCATGTAGAAAAGTACATGAAAGGTGTTAAACACCATTTTATTCTATTTCACTTCATGTACTATAGTTATTTCTTTTTTTAATAGCGACGTGGTGTGGCTGAATGGTTAACGCGTGCATGTTGAATCAGAAGGTCTGTCACTGTCACATTGAGTCAAGTGGCGTGGTTTCAAGAGTTGGGTCGCCTGTCCAACCTCATGGGTTTTCTTTGGGTCCTCTGGTTTCCTCCCACTGTTAAAGACCATATGTTATTCCCGAACGGAAATGTTCTAGTCTCTCTCTCTCTTTCTCTCTCTGACGGATCAAATTAAATAAAATGGGGGTAAACGACCTACTTTTCTGTACAGACTGGGCTAATGAAAGACAGGTGATTCTAATCAACTAACAAGGTATATTATATAATATTACAGTAAGTAAGTCAAACAAGACATATTATATAATATTACAGCTAGTAGTTGAAGTCACATACTTCAACATCTCAACAATCTTGTACACTTATATCACACGATAAGTAAATGATTCATGGAATATAGCTAAAAATATTAAACTTTGGTCCGGATTCAAAGGGTCAATATTTATAGTATCTATGTGAAATATGTAAATTATGTCAATAATTCATACATTTATTCATATCTTATGGGTTATCACAATGTGAACTAAATCTCACAATAGACATTTATAGTATTTATTCCACGTTAGTCACCAGTCCATTTATGTCCTTTATGACAGCTTTATGAAATAAATACGCATAAATACAATACAGATCCATTCACTTGATTTGATATTCAAGCAAATTTCCCTTATAGCACACTGGTGTTCGATCCCTGCATTGGCCGAGAAAGTTCATCCAGATTTTCCGACGTGGTTTCCCTTTGTTAGTGAAGCAGGACGGAGGGCCTGACAAGGGATGAAAAACCGAGGTCCTGTGTACAAATTGGCGTGCACGTAAAAGATCCCTTGGCAGTTGGAATTCGATATAAGAGTAGGCTGTAGCACCGCTGCCCGGGCAAAATTTCCCTCATAGCACACTGTATGGCGTATGCTCGTCTTCATTAGCCCAGTTTAGGAGCAGAACAGTAGGACGTTTTGCATGTCGAATGCCCATTTTCATTAGCATTAAACAGCATTTTATTTCATTTCTTTTTATTAATTACATGCTTGTATAATGGTTGTTACAATAGTGTATAGAGTGTATGGATTATTATTTTCATTAGTCTGGATGGTGCAGATGTAAACCCCATTTTATTTCATTAGTTAACTAGCTATGTTTGTATAATGGTTGTTACAATAGCGCTTTAACATGGATTAATATTGATGATCTTAGATCTAATCAATATTATTGTTAATTTACGTCCTGCACTCTGTGTCCATCATTATATCAATCGTTCAACCATAACTAGTTGACAATACCGTATATATCATACTATATACAAGCTTGTGGTTCAATTATTAATACCAACACAGACAAGCAACATATAAATGGAGTTAATTTAACGCTTGCTCTACATGACCAGGTTAATTTGTGACTAATATTAGCAAGGGCAGGAAACACAGTCCTGACAGTCCTTAGATAAACCACCATAATCGGAAATAAAATGGGGTTTATCATTAAAGCAGCATTGGGGGTGAGAGAGAGAGAGAGAGAGAGAGAGAGAGAGAGAGAGAGAGAGAGAGAGAGAGAGAGAGGGGGGTACAACCTCCAATTGACACAAACTAGGTCATTTCAGGACTAACACATGGTTCCATTTTACTTTAATAATTCACTTCCGCATAGGGGTCTTTAGCAGTGGGAGGAAACCGGAGAGAGAGAGAGTTTAACACTTAACTTAAACTAAGTCATTTTGGGACTAACATGGTTCAATTTTAATTCAATAATTCGCTTGTGCATAGGGGTCTTTAGCAGTGTGAGGAAACCAGAGGACTCGGAGAAAACCCACGAGGTTGGATAGGCGACCCTACACCTTGTCACGTACAACCAGGGAATCGAAACCACGCCAGTTGACGACTCAATGACAGACTGACTAACCATTCGGCCACCCAACCCCCATCACGCTTATCAAGTGAGCTACAATAGTACGATCAATGAACTGAAATGAGGTTTAACGTCCTACTTTTCTGCACCGACTGGGCTAATGAAGAAGGGCATATATGGCCATACAGTGTATTATGATGGAAATATTGCCCGGATGACGGTGCTACAGCCTACTCTTACTTGTATTTCGAATTACAACTGGCAAGGATTCTTTTGCAAGGGAGAGAGAGAGAGAAATGGGGTTTAACGTCCACTCGACACAAACTAGGTCATTTCGGGACTAACGTATGGTTTAATTTTATTTACATAATTCGCTTGCGCGTAGGGGTCTTTAGCAGTGGGAGGAAACCGGAGGACCCGGAGAAAACCCACGAGGTTGGATCTTTTGCAAGGGACCTTGTTTTTTTGTACCATCTGAATGATTAGACATTGTTCCTTGAAATGGCCTGACAAGTGAAAAAACACTGGAAAATCCAGAGTCACTTTCTTGGCACACACCTGGTTAGCGAGCCAGCATCTTACTCACTGAGTCATCACGTTTCTCTAGAAGTATCTGCTAACACCAGATGCTGATCACATGAATTTTTAAATAAAGTAATTATTGATAATATTTCAACAAGGAAATGATTCATTCACAAAAAAATTCACATGGCAAGGCTTTTTTTTTCTGGTTTCATTCTATTTTCCATTTGCAAGATAATTAGATTTCTAGAAAGCACGCAACCAAAAAACCACCTGGACTCGTACATGACATAAAAATTAACAATGTTATACCAGTGATATGAAATTTGAAAATGGTTTGCAAAAACAATAATTGAGTGTCAGACTGGGAGATAGGCCACACCAATTTGAATTTTAAATATTATTTCTTGAAACATTTGTTAAAATTTTATTTTTCCTCTGCCATTAACAAAAAAGGCCTAGTCAGTTGCTCTAAACTTCAATTTTTTACTTTTGAAATTAAAAAAAAAAACACGAGGCTAATGACCCCTTCCATTATCCCAAAATAAATAAATGACACTCATTAATTACTTGTATTTTATATTTTTTATAAAAGCATTGTGTTGAGCTCGTCATTCTATGTACTGGAATCCAGATATGGATGCGTTTGGAGAGAGAAAGAGAAATGGTGTTTAACGTCCACTCGACACAAACTAGGTCATTTCAGGACTAACATATGGTTTAATTTTATTTCTGAGTGGGAGGAAACCGGGGGACCCGGGAAAAACCCACGAGGTTGGACAGGCAACCCTACTCTTTGTCACATACAACCGGGAATCGAAACCACGCCAGTTGACTCAATGAGAGACCTTATGAAAAAGCGCACACATGCTAACCATTTGGTCATCCAACCCGCTCAAATTTAGATTTAGCCCAACATGATTAAATAGGTCAAGTTGTGGTAAATGCTTGCAACCCACGTTTCCAGCATCCATTTTTTTTTTAAATAGGGGGGGGGGCATGTGCCCCACCTGGCACCTGGGATCATTGTAATCAAGTTGTGGGAACCCCTGAATTAGAAGCAGAGTTATTGTGTTTTAAACAGTGTGAAGGATACACAAACAGATCTTCGAAAGGCCAGTGGCAAAAAACATAATGCAAGACCACATGTGCATGTATTTATGAAAATCCTGAAGAACTGAAAATCAATTTGGTTGGGCATATCACAATGGATCTGAAGACAATATTCTACATTATGACCATTTCTAAATCATTGAGAGATATTTGGCCCAACATACACTTATTATGTTTTGTCTGGACTATTTCAAGATGGTCGTTCAAGTTCTAATAATTCTTCAGTGCAGTTGGAAACTTCCCAAAACGATTTTCTTCAATTAACTCAGTTGTTTAGACAGGATAATATGACCTATCACATTCAATAACTCATCAATAGGGAGACACACTGGTTTGTTTATAACCTGCACCTTTGGTTAAGATTATTATCAATTCACTTTGTGTATGAAAACGTAGACAACTATGGTAATTTTTCATCAGCTAAGATCTTGATTCCTTAAACATACATTATGCAAGAGCTAAATCTGCCTATTGCAGGTCTTTCTTTAGGTCTGAAATTTTATCTAAATTATTAATTAGAAATTAATTAACTTATCCAGACCATAATCAACTCTCAATGTCATTGCTATTGACTGGATTAGGATCTGATTTGCTGCTCAACTTTCA